AGTTTTCCATCGCAATTTGTACATAATTTGTTCTGTGACATCAGTTAGAGCCTCCTCAGTACAACAGCTTGGTTGTGCTTATGCAAAGCCTATATTTGGACCAGGAGGCAGTCGTCAGAGCAGAGCAAGGAAACATGGCATGGATCAAAACTGGGAAGCGTGTACCCTCCTCCATACATTTTTAGTCTATATACAGAACAGATCATCCAGGACGCTGGGCTCTATGGGGAGAAATGTGGCATCAGTACAACTACAGGGATGTGAATTCTCCCCTCAGCTGTACAGGTAATGCATCTTCATGGAAGATAACATTTATTACCCAAAATGAGTGCTTTCCAGCCACTCTTGACATGGACCAGCTCCTTCAGTCCTCAACAGCCCCATGTGGTCAGTACCATCTGCTCACCCTTCAGAGGCAGAAAGAAACCCCGGAGGCTACATTTAACCATGACAATATCCTTCTAGAAATCCACAGAAGGTGCGAGTAGTTGCTCCTCCCTTAGCGATGATGGTGCGAGCAGGTTGGTCTCTGAAGCCCAGGTGCTTCTCCAAGCTTGATGCCCATACCTGCAGGACAGGTCTGCTGGGTGAGCTCAGAGCCCCGACTGTGTCATGTGGGAGATTTGTACAGCAGCACCGCCCCCTGGCGGCCTTCTTGACCTGTGCTCCCAGGCTAAACACAATACTCTCTTCAACAGTGTAGGGACTTGAGACCTTGGGCCACATATAAAATGAGGAGCCTGAAGTGTGAGCCTGAGGCCTTTTGAAATTCATTTGTGCTCTGAGGGCCGCCTGGTTGTCCTTGGTTTTGAAATGAACACTTCTACTTGGTATAGCACCTTTCTGTCACTTCTCTGTATTGAGGTAACTTTGAATTGCTGTGATACTGAACGTTGTGTCATTGGTCTGTCAAGTGGCATAATGGTTGCACCTGGTTGACAATTTCTGATTAGCTAACAGATTAAGACAGGCTTGGCAGCAGGGGTGGCATCCATGTCCTAAGTATGCCTGTGGAAACTATGAACTTAGAGAATGGACAATAGTTATAGAGCAAGGTTAAAGCCTTTTGTTTATGGTTTCAGTACTAGATGGCTCGTAACAACAACAATATATCTTGCCAAGCCCTTGTCTTCTATTTTGGACTTCCATTGGCTCGACTCATGATGGCGCTTTTGTTTTGGTTGAGGATCTGTGTGGATTGTTTCATTGTTTAAGCCTCTTGTTTAGAGTCAACAAGACCTCTAGGAGGTCACTCATATTTAAGGCCAAGCCCTTGTCTCTGTTTTGGAAAATGGGTGAAGCGACTGGACTCTGTAAGATGAGCTCTCTTGTTCTGGTTGAGGGTCATTGTGGAATGTTTTTCTTTTTTTTTAAATTGCTACTAAAGTTTAGAGTCAACAAAACCTCCCAGAGGGCCCTTATATTTAATGTATTTGGTCCGATGGATTATCTTTTAATCCTTTGCTACTATATTTTGGAGGAACATTCTTCTAAGTCATACAGCACTTTTCTGTCAATGTGCTGCACTGAGGTAATCTGGGTTTGCTGTGATACTGAACCTTGTACCTTGGGGTCTCAAAAGCCGTAACAGCTGCCCATGGTAGACAGTGTTTGGTGGAGCTCCCAGTTTTAAGACAGGTTGGGAAACAGGAGTGGCATCCACTTCCTAAACCACATACCTCTGGAAACTGTATGAACTTGGAGAAATGATAGTTATAGAAAGGCCTCAGGTCTTTTGTTCATGAAGTCGCTAGGAGTCATGAGCGACTCAACGGCAATCAACAACAACAACATATGCACACTGGGTGACTGCACAGAGCCCTCCTTCGCACCTCACCCAGCTAAAGTTTGAACCGTGACTAAGGTTTAAGTGACTGAGAGAAAGATGAATCTCTCCAAGAGCAGCCCAGAGGATATGCTCTAAAGTGGTCCACAATCCCAAAAGGAATGTCTAGGGCACCAGACGGAGACTCCATGTGCCCTGATGCTCTTCTGCATCTTGGTAAAGAGACTGAGGTACAGAAATTGTCCAGGTTCAGACAAAGATGCTCAAAAGTGGGGAGGTTTGAAGGAAGCTGTGAGCAGAGTGTGCCCAGACTGCTCCGGACATGCGGGAGTGTCAGCCAGACAGGCCGGGTCGGGTCCCAGGGCAGCTCTGTGGACTCACCAGCCCCCATAGACCTCCTACCTATAGGTTCTCCTAGCAGGCTGTGGGGCCACAGTCAGGAATGTCGGCCAGGAACAGCTCTCCACTTGTTTGGCTGAAATAACCAAGTGTCCACACCATCCGCTTTAATGAATAAGAAGGCAGAAGAGCCTGCTCTGGACAGAACCCCAGGACAGAGTCCTTCAACCCCGTCACCCAGCTGCCATGTGTCCTATGGTTACAGAGGGAGGTGGATGACGGCAATGAGGACAGGTCCTGTCTGTGAGGAGACAAGATCCAGGCAGGAGAGAACAATAAACATCTGTAACACACCACAGTCCCAGTCTTCCCAGAGGTGGGACCCTGTCTGCTCCAGCCCGTAGAGGGGCGAGGCACGAGTTTGGGCTACATGAGGGCACAGGGGATAGTCACGGGCAGCGTTAGGATTCAGACTCCCTGGACACGTGGCACCCAGCATACAGTTGTGCTGGTGTGCGAGTGTACACGTGGCTGTGCAGGTCAGTGCCCTTCGGAGCCACAGGGTCCCATCAGGGTCCAGAGGCCAGGCGAGTGGGACCAATGGTCACTTCTTCTAGAAGAATGTCCATATGCACGGACACTTAATGTCCTACAGCTCTCGGGGGACCACAGCGTCCCTCCCCAGCTCATGGGGCTCTGCAGCATCTCCTGGCTTTCCCTGGGCATGGAGGCTGGCCAGGACAAAGCCCAAGACAGGCCAGCCGAAAGCACTGTGTTCACCTCATGCTTTGATTTGGCCATCGGGTGCCCCCGCGGCCTAGGCATGTCCCCACTGCGGATGCATCGGCTTCACCACCTGCCCGTGTCCCAGGTACCAGCCTGCCTTTACTTGAGGCTTCCCTTCCTGCCCCTGAAGAAGTAGATGGTGGGTGGGTCTTTTCTTACAAAAGGATATGCACACATCTTTGCAGTCAGCAGGAACGTCTAAATCAGGCAGGGACCCAGAACAGAGGCATAGTCACACACTGACCCACACGTTCACAGTGGCCTGAGGCACGCTGGCCATGGCCAGAAACCCCCAAGGTTCCTCAGCCCTGTGTCACACTGTTCCAACCTTGAGACTTCTCCAGAACGAGGCCCAAACAAATGGGATAGGACACCCACAGCAGTTCCACTTACAAACCACCCAAACCCTGGCATGTTTGCCAAGGGTAAGTTCCACAGGCTTTTAAGACATGTTTCAGGCACACAGAGTCTGGGGGAACTGGGTTCCCTCAGCAAAATGGCTTTTTCATTGCAGTATTTCTGTTTTATTTGCTAACATGTGCCTCTCTGAGAAGGAATTACGGCAGGTATCATTCATCCAGCAGGCAGCACGAAAGGCTCCCGGCCTGTCAGTACAGACACTGCCCCGTGGTCCTCCAGGCAGAGCGCTCACCCAGTAGGCACCGCAGACCCGTGGCTGTGGAGTTCACACTGTGTCTGAGTTCCCTGTCAGGTGCTCACGTAAGACTCCCACTTTCTCATCCCCGTTCTCTCTTCAATGCACTCCATCAGAGTTCAGGCTCCCACACACCTGGGGGACTGCCCTTGTCAAGTGTACTAGGCCACCTTGGGCCACACCCACCCTCATCCACTCCACCCACCTCATCGTAGCCCAGGGCCTTGCAGGCCCCTGCTTGCTGGCCCTTTCCACTCCAGCTGTAGCTTCACCGTCTGGTCACCTCAGAGGCTGTTCCTGCCCACCTGATCTGACCTCTTCACACAGTCTACGTATGATCTTTTCTAATTTCCTTTACTGGCTGGCTGTCCGGGAGCCAGCAGTTCTCCTGAGTCTCAATGTTGTTGTTTGTTGTTATGTGCCATCGAGTCACTTGCGACTCATAGCGACCCTATGTACAACAGCCCTAAACTCCGCTCTGTCCTGTGCCAATCGCACTATCTCTGACACTCCCATCCCAATTATCCCAGCCACTGAATCAATTCACCTCATAGAGGGCCTTCCTCTCCTGCGCTGTCCCTCCACCCTCCCAAGCATGATGTCCCTCTCTAAGGACCGGTCTCTCCTCACAACATGTCCAAAGTATGTTAGATGGAGCCTCAGAATCCTTGCCTCCAAGGAGCCACCCGGTTTAACCCTTTCCAGGACAAATCTGTTTGTTTTCCTAGCAGTCCATGGTATTCTCAATACTCTTCTCCAACACCACAGCTCAAAGGCATCAATTCTCCTTCTATCCTCCCTGGTCATTGTCCAACTCTCTGATGCATAACAAGTGATTGCAAAGACCATGGCCTGTATCAGATGCACCTTAGTCTCCAGAGAGACACCATTGCTCTTCAGTACTTTGGAGAGGTCCCTAACAGCAGACTTTCCCATGGCAATGTGCCAGCCTAATTTAAAAAGTCTTGAGTAACTGGACGTGGGGGCCCAGGGTTTCTGTCACCTCCAATCCCGGAATCCTTAGTCACAGATCAGTCTCTTCCCAGCACAACAAAAACATGCTTCTCCCAACGGCACTCCACCTCCAACCCTACTGGCCTCAAAGGCAGGTGCCAGGCCCAAGGGGACGGGGAAGCTTAGTTCCTGCTTACCCCAGGCCACCCAAAACAAGAGTGAGCCCTGTGGCAGGAAGCCACCAGAAGGGCCCCGTTCCCCACCGCACCCCGTCCCCACGGCGCTCCCGCTGAGAAAGACACGCGGAGATGCTGTTTATTACGTTCTTTTTTTAATGAAACTAGATCACTGCTTACAAAACCTGCACGTGGGCGCGCACCCAGCCCCTTCACAGTTCCCTCGGCTCTCCATCAGAGGACCCCCAAGTGGGTGTGCAGCGGTCAGCACTGCCAGGTCCATGAACGCCATGGGGAGAGGCCCACAGTTCCATCCATGTCAGCTCCCACGAGGCCCGGAGGGTGCAGGGTCAGGCCCGTGATGTCCCGGCTCAGGCCACCACTCAGACCAGCGTGAAATGATGTGAATGTCCCGCCCCACAGAGCCCACCTCCCCCCCTAGTAGTCTCTCTTCCCTGCCTCCCTCCCTCCCCCCACCCCTCCCACCCTGCTACTGAGATGGGCCCAGCTGGCGCCGACGGGCTGGGCCTACAGGCTGTAGAATTTGAGGCTCCTGTCCATGCCTGTGGATGCGATGAACTTGGCGTGGTGACCAAAGGCCACCCCCGTGGTCAGGCCACTATGCTCTGTAGAGAGAAAAGAGGCGACAATGAAGTCTCTCATGCCATCCTGGGGAGCTGTTCTTCATGGACCTGCGGATTTTACAGGACTATCTGGCTGCAAGGTGACCTTGGGAGTGTCTCAGGGAGACAGAGGCTGGGGCTCCTCCAGTGCAGGGGTTTGGCTTCTTATGAATCCAGATTCTGGTCTCTAACAGGGTCTTGCTAAGAGACAGCTGCGGCACCATCTAGTCCCTCCAGCCTCAGGCTACACGAGGCTGCGGCCTCCCGTCAGGCAGCACTGGGCCTGGGATGGGCCTGGGCAGAACTGCTCCCTCACTTTGGCATCTGCCTCTTCTCTGCTCCAGGCAGGAGGAGACCAATCATTTGATCATACACGGCTGCTCGCAAGCCTCCGGGATCAAGAAACTACTCACTAGGCTGGAATGCTGAACTCTATCAACCGCACGGCCAGCAGGCTTAGCTGTCCCTCAAGACTACGAGCTCTAGGCCAGGGTACCTGGTCATGTCTAAGAAGGTTCCAACACTGTCCCCCACATGCTCCATTATACATAGGGGAACATACGCAGCACATACAAACGGGCACGTACAACCCCCACAGCCATGTGTGTGCACTCACACGGACCCACACACCCTCCCACACCTCCACAGCACACATCTGGCTGCTGCAAGATCCATTCCACCACATCTCTCAGGGCTTTGTTTACGTTAACAGCGCTGACAGGGATTGCACTGCCTCTCCCTTTACCAGGGTTAACACACGACTTCCTCAGACAGTGGTTAAAAGCTATGTGAGAAAACCTCAGCCCACCTCTAACTCCCTCCACCAGTGAGGCTGCCCCACATTATTGGCGCCTGGACCCCCTGACCTTAGGCCCTACCTGTAAAGTGAAGAATCTCCGTCCACTGCTTGCAGATGTAGATCTGGACGTCTGTGCCCCCGAGGGCCAGGTAGGTGCCACTCTGGTCAAAGATCAGCGACTTCACCTCGAAGTTGTTATCCAGCTGCAACGTCTTGAAGTTCTTAAGCTTGCGCAGATCCCAGAGCTTGACGGTGGAGTCGTCAGCCGCGGTCGCCAGGTAGTAGCCGTTCTCGGAGAAGGCGATGCTGGTGATGGGGCCGGAGTGGCCGGGGAAGTTGGCCACGTTGGTGCGCTCCTGCCATGGGAAAGGAAAGGAAAGGATGTTATCAGTGGACATTAGAAGAATGAAAAGAGGGTCAACCAGCTCCTTCCTCTGTGTGACGTCCTCCTCGGGAGCAGGAGTGGACAGCCAGCCTGGCCCTGGACCCAGGCATCACATCACACCCAGAATCCTCCCCTCCAGGGCCCCTAAGCACTTCATTAGCGTCTCCACAAGAGCTCCGACTCCGGGCCTCAGAAGGAGTCCTGCCGTGTCTCACCTTCAAGTCCCAGATCTTGATCTGAGAGTCCATGGTTCCTGTTCCAAAGATGAGTCCGTCCGGGTGGAACTGTGCACAGGTAAGAGCTGCAGAGAAGGGAGGTGGGCAGAGCCCACGGGTGTGAGCAGGGGCAGGAAAGGCAGCTCCTCTCGTCTTCACGCTCCCCACAGCGCCCAGCCTGAGCCCCACACCCAACACTCAGCGCATGGGTTTTTAGAAGAACAAATGGCCAAGAAAGAGCCAGATGCCACAGGGGTGACTTACAGCAGCCAGAGGTCTCATCTGTCACTTTGGTGAGCACACGTCCGGTCTGGATGTCAGAGAAGGCCCAGTACTGAGAGAGAGACCAAGAGGACAGTAAGTAAGCAAGTTCAGGCTCCAGCCAGCCCTGCACAGGAACCCGGCTTGGCAAATCCCAGCAAAGCTCATAGCTCCCACCCTAGAAGCCCCAGTCTCCTTGCAGGTTCAGGAGCCAGCTGGGGTTGGGGAGACATTCCCTCCTCCAGGACCCTGGCAGGGGACTCACCTGATCGTCAGAGGAGCTCAGGAGATAGTCACCGGTGGCGTGGAGGCTGAGGCCTGTCACCGAGCTCTCATGGGCACGAACAACCTGGACACAAGACGAGTTCGGAACCGACCAGATCCTGATCGTGGCATCCGGGGAGGCAGAGAACACCAGCTCCTAAAACGGGAGCAAAGCAAGAGGCAAACATCAAGGACAATCTCACGCTGGCCACACCCACCAGCTGCTCCTCTCTGCAGTCCTCCTGGCCCGAGTCACCCCCTGATGCCGAGGGCCACAGGCCGATGCTGTTCAAATGTTAGCCGGGAGCCTGCATTGGGATCTCTGCCACCTAGTGGCAAAAGAGGATGACAGCAACAGAGTAAGGCCCTACGCTTCAAAACTAGGTCAAAGGGAGGGATATGCCCAGTGCAAAAGAGGGACTCAAATCATAATTCAGATTTATGAATATTTAGTCATCTATAAACTAAGTTAATGGATAGAGCTCAGGGGGCTAAAGTCTGAGCTGCTAATTAAAAGGCTAGCTGATCAAAACCTCCAGCCGCTCTGCTAGGAAAAGTGGATTCTGACTCCCAGCAACCCTATACGCAAGAGAAGGAAGCGCAGCCGTGTCTGGGCGGCCAGCCGTGTCAGGGCCCACTGTTGCGGTCACTTCAATCCTACCCTAGCGAGCTCCCCGGGAAAATTCTACTCCGTCCTGTAGGATTCACCATGTGTCAGAACCGATCCGATAGGGGAATGTTCCAGAGCCTGCCACATTGAAGAATTCCAGCAAGCTAACATACAAAAACAGTGGGACTGGGAATACGTTACACAGGGTCACCAACAAATCATTGTGTGCTACTTATGCCATTAAAAAGTCATAAACAAAAACCACTGCCACCTCCAATCAACACCATTTCCCCAACAATCTGTTACAGCAGCTACCACAGGGCCGCCCCAGGCCCCCAGGACAGTGGCACGAAGGACAGAATCTAAAATAAAGCAAACGGAAACCGTGCTTCCAACTCGACACGCTGTCACTTTCCACTCCCTGAGGCTGGCTGCCTGGGAAACCAGATGTTCTGTTCTGCAGCCCCAGGCCCAACATATTCTAGGCTGCAAAACCCAAACCCATATTCATGTTACTCATTTGGCCCCACTGACCCCCTACTCAGGAGGATTACGTGAGCCAGGATTTATCTACCAGCCGTGAGTAAATGACCTGTGGAACCTTGTCTCTGCGGGTGAATAATAGGCTGTTTCCCTTTTCCTGAGAAAAAATATCTCATGGAACAGGTTTTTCCAAATCATCTGAAGATCAATGCTGCAGGCGTGCCCACACAGAGGCAGACTTCCAGCTGCCCCATGATCCACTCACTGCACCAAACGCCAGGTGGGTGGAGGCTGGGACTGAGGTGAAGGAGAAGGTCCTTACCTGAGACGGGTGAAACACCACGCTGGTGACTTTCTTGGTGTGGCCTTTGAGGGTGGCCAGGATTTGCTCAGAACTCTTGTCAAACACGACGACGTTTTTATCCGCCCCACCTGGAGAGAACCGAAAGAAACCAAATGTCAGGCCCATCCACCAGGCTACCCCCACCTCAGCCTGCTGCATCAGGACCACCCACCAGGTAGGTCTCGGTGCCCACCCTCCAGGCTCAGATGCCTGCCCCAGCTGCCACCTCCAGCTCCACCTCAGGCCCACCCCACCTTGGCCCAGAGTCAGGCCCACCCTCACGTCAGCTATGTCAGACCCACCCCACCTCGGCCCACTGAGTCAGGCCCACCCCACCTCAGCTGCACCAGGTCTGCTCTTACCAGTGAGGATCTTGTTGGTGTCGGAGGGACAGAGGTCCAAGGCGAGGATCCCTGGGATGCTGGCGCTGTGCAGTCCCTGTGCAAAGCAAGCAGACCACACTCAGTCACAGCGCAGAGTCCCAGCTCCCCCAGTCCACCCCAGTCACCCTCCAGCCCAGGGAACAAGTTACTTCTGTGTCTTATCCATCCCATTTGGCTTTTTGCCTGGATAACGGACTCTCTCATGAATCTCTGGGAAATCAGGGCCAGCCAGGCAGGAAGAAAAAAACTTGACATTTCAGCATCCAAGGCCAGAACCAGGCCAGAGGCCTTGAATAGCTCTCCCTTCACCACGCCAGCCTGCCGGCCTCAGAACCCCTCAGCATGAGGTCAGAACCAGGCTGGAGGCCCTGGACAGCTCTCCCCTCACTACACTGGCCTGCCGGCCTCAAAACCCCTCAGCATGAGGTCAGAACCAGGCTGGAAGCCCTGGACAACAATCCTCCTACCATGGTCCATGCTGGCCTCAGAACCCCTCAGCATGAGGTCAGAACCAGGCTGGAGGCCCCGGACAGCTCTCCCCTCACCACACTGGCCTGCCGGCCTCACAACTCCCTCAGCATCCACGGCCAGAATTAGGCTGGTCACCCAGGCAACTCTCCCCTCACCATACTCCACACTGGCCTCAGACGCCCCTCAGCATCCAAGGCCAGAACCAGGCTGGAGGCCCCTGACAACGCGGGCAGCTCTCCCCTCAGAACAGACCCACCGCACGGCCAGGCAAGCCGGTCACTTACCACGTGGGACGCCACCTGCCGGTACTTGCTCAGCTCTTCCGGCTTTACAAGCTCCTCGGGCACAGTCTTTCCTCTCTGAAAAATTAAAAAGCCCCGAAAAGTAGTGGTAAGGTGTGCAAACTTCAGTTATCTCCTTTCTCCCAAGGGGGCAACCGCCTCCCACTAGACAAGTCCCTCCTAGCGCTGGGGAGGACTCACCTTCTTACGCTCCGTGGTGAGCACAGTGGCCTTGTCTTGAAGCTGGAGAGAGAGGGGGGGATAGATTCAGTGTGAGACAAACACCAACCATGCATACAATGACCTCGCGGACGCGGGTTACAGAAACGCCTGCACAGGCATCACCAAGGACCTGCCACCTGCCACGTTCTGTTAAAGGCTTACGTACAGTCTCTTTGTGCTTTGACCTCAATCTTACGAGGTGGGAGTTGAGAACCTTATTTTACAGATGAGAAAACTGAACCTCAGAGAAATGAAGTCACCTGCCCAGCACACACGTCGGTGGATGGTTCACTTAGAGGTTCAGCTCGACATGACCCGCCGAGGATCTCCCAGATCAGGACCCTACAGGTAACTAAGATGACATGGGGGGCCAGTGGGTGTCGACACCACAGGAAGTGCTCGGAAAGGCACTACCTCGGCCCACAGGCGAGGACTGTGTGAGTGTAACCGAAGCACCGCATCCGGAGCCAGGAGTGCAGTCTACCTGAGCAGCTCAAGCTGTCTCCAGTTCTCCATCAGTAAAATGACGACGGCAATTCCCGTGGCGGGGTCTGTAGGGAGCTGCACTGCTTACCCCAAGGCTGTGCATCCCTGGCAGTTCGAACCCACCAGCGGCTCTGAGAAAGAAGCAGCCTCATCTCTTTACAGCCTTGGGAACTCAACAGAGGGTCACTGTGATCAGAAGTGACTCGAGGGCAGCGAGGCAGGGTCACGAGCCTCCCTTCACGGGAAAAAGCCCGCGTCCACCTGACGAGGGCCACACCTGTTGCCAGCCCGTGGGTTCTGATACACAGGCTCCACAGGAAAGAGCGGAAGTGCTCCACAGAATTCCCAAGGCGACAAATCTGTACGGAAGCAGAAAGCTCATCTTTCTCCCAAGAAGAAGCTGGTGGGTTCAAACCACCAACCTTTCAGTAAATAGTACGGTGCTTAGCCACTGTGCCACTCACTGGGCGTCTTTATGTTAACAAAGAACCTCAAAAAAAAACAAAAACAAACACAAAACAACAAAGAGCCTCAATACCTGCAAAGCAACTAAGCAGCAACAGAGCTAAGAGTTATGATACTTAATAGAAATGGAATCTTTCAAATGAAAAAAAAGTCTATCAAGCAGACAGTACTGTCCTTTACATCTTAGAAACAAGATAAAAAGAGACACCAGGGGCTGTAAGACAGCTGAGTTGGAGCGCTCTAAGCGCTGGTGTCAAGATCAATCCAGCGTCAGTGCCTGCGCCACCCGCCCCTTCCAGGCACGCAGGACTGCAAGTCTGACCGGACCCCCCAGCTCACGGACTCACCATACCAGCATGCGTTCCCACCATGACTCACCTTCTGGATAATTTCAGGAGTCATTCCCACCAGCTCGCCCAGATCCATCGGCTCGCCTGCACCCTGAAGAGAGAGAGGACACAGGTGAGAGGCCCTTGCATGCCAGCTCCGTGGGCCCCTGCACCCACACGGGCCATAGGGAAGGGTGGGGGTCACTTACCACGACGCTGGGCTGTGAGCTCGGCACAGCTTGAGGCACGATGAGACCAGCTTGCGGTTTCAGGGTGGCCAGAGCTGAGAAGGAAACGTTCACAGTGAGTGAGGTCACGGCGGGACCAGTCCCAGAGACAGAACACGCACACAGAGTAGGGGAAAGGGGGCACCTTCTCGCGCAGCTGTGACTTCCTTGGTGAGACGGGCGATGACACGGCAGGCGGCGTCGTGCTGGTACAGAGCGTGGGACAACTCCTGGCGGGTTGTCTGCAGCTGCTGGCGCAGAGTGAAGCTGTGCAGCATGACAGCGTCCTGGAAGAGGGGGACACCGTGGTGAGGACGGGGAGAGGCCGCTGGCGGAGGTCAGCTCCTGAGGGAGGGCACACTGGCTCCTATCCCACGGCCTAGCCTGGTAGCAGTGACCCCGCAGCATCAGAGGGACCCTGAAAGTGCTGGCAGACACTCTGTCCCCCACGCATGGACAGAAGCAGGGGCCAGCTCATTCCCAGCCCATCTTCTCTCATTTCCTGGCAAATCACAGCAAAGAGGTCCAAAAGCCCATTTACTGTCAGCCTCTTTCCGATGGGCACGGAGTCGGGCAGCCCCTGAAGATGCACACATGCAGATTATAAAGCACCTATCAGGTGCTGCTCTCGGTGCTGGGAACACAGTGATAAAAACCAGCACGCAAATGCTGAGCAGCTTGTCCACAGTCACTGGGGGAGGAATCAACGAAGTCTAAAAAGACCTGCGTGACTTCCACAGCCAAGACCCTCCTCACGTACTATTCTGCCCTCAAAACCCACGGTGGTGATGCAACCCTCCCCAGTGCTTGTGCAGGGATCCATCGAGCTAAGAGTGCTTCTCTCTGGGGGACTCACCCATTCATCTTGCAGGGCCTTCAGAATGGCAGGGATGCTGGTGGCTGAGGGGGGCTTGGGCCGGATTGGGTGAGCAACTGTGGAGGGAGAAACGGTTATGAAGACCCATAAACCCAGCAGCCCCTTCCCACCTCTCTTCTTCCCCTCGGCCTGCGTTCACAGACTGCCACCTCCCCGCCCAGTGAGCACCTTTGATGTCGATGAGCTGTTCCTCTGACAGAGGCTGGTTGTTGATGGGGTCTGTGCCATTCTCTGCAATGTACTTCTCGATGAGCCGCCGCTCGTATACATGATTGGAGACTGGGGATACACACGGGTGCTCTGGTACTTCATTGGAGACTGGGGGGGAAGGCAGGCAGTGAGCATGGGGTCAGAGAGATCTTGGACTAAAGAGACCCCACTACTGGATCCAACAAGACTGCAAAGTCCTCACACACAAGACTTGTGACACACACACCCACCCACACACCCAGCCAGTCCTGCCTTGTTCCCAGAACACCTTCCAACAACTGGCTTCTCAATCAGTGGTCTCCTGGCAGATAGACGTTGGGGTTAGGTATCACTAAGTCAGCTCTGATCCCAATAAGTCTTCAGTACAAGAGAACAAACCATGCCTAATATTATCAGTGAGAACCGGGGGGTGGGGGTGGGGGTTGGGGGGTATCAATAGCTCACATGCAAATTTCATCTGCAGCTGAAGAAAATTACAAGAACTTTGTAAGAACCAAAGTACAACCGATTTGCATCTGAAGAACAGAGTTCATGTACTGAACGGTAGTGACAAGCTGTGGGATGGCAGGCATCAGGGACATCACGCATGATGAAGAAATCAAAAGGTCCTTAAAAAGACAGGCAAGAGAAAATACCAAAATGGATGTCAAAAGAGACTCTGAAACTTGCTCATTAACACTGACCAACGAAAACAAAGAGACGATAAAGTGTAGAGTATAACAAAAGATTTCAAAAGGCAACTCACGAAGACAAAGTAATGTATGACAGTGAGTGAAAGGTGCAGTCCTGGAGTAAGACAACCAAAAGGGAAGACCGCGCTCGAACCGAAGGAAAAAAATTCGGACCTTGAGGTGTAAAACTTAACGATTCCATGGGCAAAAAAAAGTAAAGACATAGGAAGCATCAAATGAAGAAGCTGGAAAGCATACACAGAGTCACTGTACCAAAAATAATCAGTCAACATTCACCCATTTCAGGAAGCAGCGTATGAGACATGAAGAACCAACGGGACTGAAGAAGTCCAAGCTGTGCTGGAAGCAGTGGGGAAAACCGAGGCTCTGGTGGGTACCAGAGGAGATGCTTTAAAAACCACATGCAACACTAGAAGCACTCATCTGTCTATACACAAAATTCAGGAGACCGCTACCTGGCCGACCAACTGGTAGAGATCTTTGCCTCTAAAGAAAGGTGATCCGAGAAACGTGAAAATTGTTGGACGACACCAGAAAGGTATTTCCCTGTGTTTAACTGACGATACAGAAGAACCCCTCGAGGTAGCTCTGGAGGGGTAGCTCGCAAGGAGTTACGCCGCTAAACCAAAGGCCACGTTTCTCTCATGGTTCAAATCCACCAGGAGCTCTGAAGAAGAAAGATGAGCAATCTTTTCTTCTTCTTCTTTTTAAATTTAATTTTATTATTTTTGTGTGTGTGTACTATCAAATCAGATCTGACTGGTACAGGAGGAGATTACCCCTTCTTCTTCTTCTCCAGCAGAGCATCTGGTGGAGTCGAACCGTGAACTCTGGGATTCTAGGATTCTAGTGCAGTTTCTTGCCACTAAGCTGAGCAATCTCTTCTTGTGTAGATGAGACAGGCGTTACCGGCACTCCTTCCCACAATGATTATGTCTCCATTCATTATACTTCAGGAGAGGAAGATAAATGAGGGTTGGCAATGAGTCAGAACTCAACAGCAGAGGTTTTGAGTGAGAATCAACAAATTGTGGGTAAGATGGCAAAGAACGGGACTCGAGAAAACGGAACTGTACTCTCACCTCTGGACCAAAAGGCAACATCATGACAGGTGGCGAAAAGATTAAAGTCATCAGCAAGTTCATTTTACTTAGATCCACAATTGGTACCCACGGGAAGGGCAGCCAAGAAATCAAAAGACACGTTGCATGGGAAAAACTTACTGTCAAGGACCTCTCCAAGGTGCTGGAGAGCAAGGAAAGGATGTCAGTGTAAAGAAGAATGTGCATCTGATCCAAACTGTGGTCTTTTCAATTACTTCCTATGCATCGATAGGTTGGACAATGAATAATAATGGCAGGAAAATCAATGTCTTTGAGCTGTGGTGTTGGAGAAGAGTACTAACGTCCCCTGGTCTACACAAAGAACAAATGAGTCGGTCTTGGAGGAAGTGCAATCAGAGCACTACTCAGAGCCAAGCCTGGTCAAACGTCCTCTCATGCTCTTTAGGGATGGTGTTGGGAGGCCAGTTCATAGAAAAAGACATGATGCCTGGAAATGTGATGGATAAGAGAAAGGAAGGAAGACTCGACACAATGGATCAACACACTGACTTTCCCAGAGGGCTCAAGCCTATCATAAACAGTGCGGATGGTGCAGGACAGAGCAAGGTTCAGATCTGTTGTTTATAGGATCACTGTGAATGAACCACAGTCAATTTAATGGCACCTAACAACACGTGGAACCTAGGTACAAACCAAGAAGCTACTGCATTGTTTAAATCGTATGCTCGAGGGCTGTCTCCTTACACCACACTTATTCAGCATGTCTGCTGAGGAAATAATACAAGAAAGTGGATGACCAAGAGACTATTAGCATCAGGACTGGAGAAAGACTCATTAGCTATCTGTGATATCCAGATGACACAACCTTGCTTGCTGAAAGTGAAAAGGACTCGAGACACTTACTGATGAAGATGAAAGACCACAGAAAAGAAAATGACAGAAAGATAGGAGAGAGGCTGAAATTGTCAAGGACTTCATTTGACTTGGATCCATAATCAACACTTATGGATGTAGCAGTCAAGAAATTAAATAACATGTTGTATTGAGTGAATTTGCTAGAAAGGACTCTCTTAAGTATTAAGAGGCAAAGACATCATTTTGAGAACAAAGGTGCACTCAACCCAAGTCATATTTCCAATTGTTTCATTCACATTTGAAAGCTGGTTAATAAATACCGAGGATCCGAGAAGAATCATCATTGCCTTTGAGTTATAGTGGCGAAGAAGAGCGAATATACCATGGACTGCTAGAAGACGAAACCTCTATCTTGGAAAAAGAACAGCCAAAATGCTCCTTAAAAGCAAGGATGGAGAAACTTGGTCTCACACCCTTTGGATATGTTATCAAGAAGAACTAGTGTTTGTAGAAGAGTGTCACATTTGGTAAAGTCAGATAAATGGTCAACAAATATTCATTGCAGAAATACAATCTACTGCGTACAGAGATAGGTCAATAAATCCTCCTCATCTTATTTTAAAGAAAAATGGTTGTTGTTTTGTGCCCTCACGTTGCTTCCAACCCTACAAGACAGAGTAGGTAGATCTGTGCCTCAGGATTCCTATGCCCAGCAGGCACTGGAGAAACATTCAACAGAAAAGTGAGTCAGTGAATTAATACATCTAATCTCTTCAACATAATCATGATAATAATCCCTTTAACCTTATGGGATTCTTCACTTCTGTCCATTTCCCTTCTCTGGATGACTGGAAGGGGTTCTGGGCAGAGAAGATGGCTCAAAAGGCAGCCAGCAATCAGAGAATGGACGCAAAGATGACCATGTCATGATAAAAAAAAGTCAAAAAGAAGAATGTAACTACAAAGCATTGCAAATGCGTGCATTTGGGATCAGGGAGCATGACTGTCACCCAGCACTGCCATTTTTCAGCTGTGGGACCTGATGACACTCTCCCTGGGCTTCCCTTCCTTACCAAGAAAACAAGAACCTCTCTTTCTGCTTTAGGAAATGCTTGTGGGGATAAGATGATATGGCAGACTTGGAAGCACCATTGCAAACGATCAAGGGCCTTATAAATACACAGGTCTATTGTGGTTGTTTATTTTTTAATAAGCCCCACCGTGTGAGGCTGGCTGGCAGAGACCCGTGTCTGCCTCTACCCAATTGTGCTACCTTCGCAAACTGCAAAAGCTCCCACTACCTGCACGCGACCTTAAGCAGCACCTGGGGCAATTTTGCTCTTATTCTGGCGACGAGGAAACTGGGGCCCAGAGAGAAAGAGAGAGAGAGGTATCGACTTGCGTCAGATCACACAGAGATGATCAGGGCCAGATTCTGGACGGCCCTTAGGGTTCCCTGACTCCCACTCCAGAGCGGTTTGCCCTGCATCAGATCCCTCCCCAAAACAAGGTAGCTGCTGGCCCCTCGGTGGTCCCCAGGCAGGAAACGCGGGGCGCGATGTGATCGGCGCAGCACTGCGCAAATGCACCCTGCACCACGGCGGACCCCCGGCGCTGACAGGCCGCCCAGCGACCCCCGGGCCTCCCCCGGAGCCGGGGTCGCAGCAGCTCGCGCCCGATCCCTCCCCACGCCCCGGCCTCCCGCACCCCACGACCGCCTGCAGCCGCTACTCACTGGAGCAGATCAGGGACATGGCGCCGTCACCGCGCTCCGAGGCGCCTCACACCGGGATCCGGGACCGGCTCGGGAGGGGTCGCGGGAACTTCCGGTCTCCCGCTGCTTCGGGAACACTCTGCGGCGAGCAGGGGGTCAGCCCCGCTAGGCGATGTGCCCGCAAAGCCTTCACGTGGGACAGTGGCCGCTGGCGCGCCTCGGCTTCAGCATTTAACGGAAACTACCCCTTCCCAGAAGGCAACGCGGCAGGAAAGGACGCGCCAAGGAGCACTCGGCTCTTTCCGGATTGGCTCGTCTCCTTCCGTAAAGCGCGGACGAAGGAGGCGGCCCAGCACTGCCTTTCCCGGGATGCCAGGGAGCCCGTAAACATTGGTGCCAGGCTTTAAAAACCTTAGCTGTCAAAACTACTATGAGATATCATCCCACCCCAGTCAGAATAGCAAAACTTATCAGAACAGCAAACATCAAATGCTGGCGAGTTTCTGGAGAAACTGGAACCCTTATTCACTGTTGGTGGGAGTGTAAAATGGTGCAACCACTGTAGAA